GTGTTTCTTCGAAGCATCATACCAAAAATGGCTTGCCCATCCTCCTACCGGTGTTGAGTGAGAACTTCATAAATGCAGTACAGGGCAACTTCAATACAGAATTTCATCATCATTACCACAAACTCGTATTTTTCTGTGAGAAGAATTTGAAATAATTAAAAATCAAAAACCTGAGATTTTTTTGGGTGTGATAAAGAATTAACATAAGTTTTTTCGGTATTTAATGGTAATAGTACTGAGTGGAATCCAGTTTGGTCAGTAATAATACGAGTGACAAAATCTGGCGACTGCGCAGCGGGATTCCGAGTTGTTTATCACGAGTATGATTACAGACCTCATTGGACGACATGAAGTCTTATCACCAATTTATCATAAAAACTTACAATTTCCGAGAAAAGAAGTATAGTCAAGTTATGAAAGAAAGGGAAAATTAGCATTTAATAGACTGATACTAACCTCACTACTGTGCTCTAAACTATTGCCACTGTTCATGGGAAAAAATTCTCCATTTTGAAGAAAGTCTGTACACTGTTGTTATGGTGATTGAAACCAAAGTTTGATTGCTTGATTGGTTTAAACTACAACTTTGAATGTGATCGGCTCATTAATTTGTCAGATAACAAACTCTCTGATAACAACTTGGCAATCGAATTAGTGGAAAATAGGAGTTTTTTGAACCAATCACAAGCGAAGAAATGATATATATTTTTTTTGTTATGCTCTGAATCGTTCTCTGAGAACTAATATATAAAAAGGAGAAAAAATAAAATCAAATAAAGTAAAGAAGCAAACTAATACTTAAGATGCAGCTCTGTTTGTTGTTGAGCCAGCTGAGGTATACTAACGACTTATTCGTTTATCGTTCAGTTTATTCCCGTGTGTGTGTTGCATATAATTGTCGAGGTAGGATGCTTTCCTTTCATTGAAAATAGATATGCATACTCTTGGACGGCGAATCCCTCACTTAGCAAAGTATAATCAGATTAGTTTCTGTTTTAGAGAATTTTTGACGTAAGGTACATTCTGCAAGCATCTTAGCGTTCAGATGCTACAGCTTCTCTCTTTATCATACATTTTTATCTCTTTCAAAGAAGTTGTGCATAACCCACTAATCATTAAATTTCTTCTGAACGAGAGAGATTCGAGACATATTTGCCCGATACAATAAATACGAAATATAACATTATTGAAATTTAGGTGAGTTTCTTGTTAAGAAAAGAAAATGTTCATATCGAGAAAGTAAGGCACATTGCTAATTTTTAATAACACAAGTCGCCATTACTTCCTCTGACTGGTACGTAAGATCAGTAATGTACATTACATTTTTCGTAAGAGAAAAAAAAGTGCTTAAACCTTGATTTCCCTTATGGTCCTTAAAGTCAGCACTATGAATTTGGAAAACCCGAAAGGCCCTCTGAAATAGAAATATTATTAAGAACTATTCCATGATTAAACAGCGTAACAACATGTATCACCAGTCAAATTTGCTGCGAAAAATGCGCCTACAGCTTTATTGTTTTCAAAATTAACTTTCAAAATAACCAACTTGCAGAAGTACATATCTTGTTCATACCTTGTTTTCTATCCAAGCCATGTGATAGCGCCCTTACCAGTGGGAACTGTTTAAAACTTTGTTCTGGGGATCAAGTAACGGGTAGGTAACTTTTTTCATTACATTTTACCTCTTCATTTACCTTGAGAGAGATTACAAAGGAAGACACATCGCGCACTTTAATTGTTTAGTTTCACTTTCCGTGTGTTTGTAAACAAGTGTTTGATTGGTTTCTGCTTTACATTTTAGAATAATCCTGTTCTTTCTTAAAATTTCTTCGGTGTCAAGGTTTGCAATAATCAGATAATGACTAAGAACAAGAAATAAGTACATTTTCTGAGTGATTGATTAATCAGCAGATCTTGTACAGATCGATGACGGCTAGATTTCTTTGATCGATATGATCTCATGATCTGTTGATAATAAACTATGAGAAAATTTCCAGAATATCTTATAACGTGCAGTACATCAGTGACTATTTCAAGGCGTTCATTATAACATTTATAGCTCAGTATTGTTCACCCAAATAATGGTGCTGTTAATATTTCAAAAAGTACAGTTCTCATTACTCTCGTAATCTCTTTCCGAGAATCCTAAAGGCGATCGAGAAATGGGATCGTCTATTTTATTTTTCTTCCGTAGAAGTAGGATTTAAATCAACGAAATTTGAAATCAGAGGGTAAATAAAGATATAGATAAAAATATTCCAATCACAACATAGACAATTATTTGTTGGTACACAAGGAATCATTCGAGTTCCCACCGGTCAAACCAGAAAAATCTGTGCCATTACGGTACGAGCTTCCTCCACCTCCGGCTTGTTTCGCATGGGTACCACCACATCTCCCAGAGTACCCATCACCTCTGCCTGATGCACCATTATCCTCTGATCCACCTCCCCCACCACCAAACCCACCAACTGCTCCTGGCGCAAGGCCCCAGGAGGAAAGCTTACTTAGAGACATAACGAGCCCAACTGGAACGATGGAAGAAAATAAAAAGAATCTCATTTGTACGAGAAGTTTGTCAAACTTAGTACAGGACACTATAAGGACCACGTTCGATACGATAGTGTGATTTAGTAAGAGGACGGGTTTTCGTTTCAGAACGGGAGAGCGCGCAGATAGCCTGGACACAACTCTATTTCGACTTCCGTTGTTGGCGTTGCCGTTCTCCCCAACAAGTTCTGGGCGTCATTTCGCTGCTTTTCCCGTCGCGATCAAAACGCCCAGGAATTATGTAAATTGCGCTCTTGTGTACGAGATAATACTGTTTGGAATGATTTCAAAACTAATTTCCAGGATTATGAGGGCCCTTCCCTATTTTGTTCGGTGTATTTGTGAGAATTTACCGCTACATTTTTGTAGGAAATACGTTGGTTAGCAGGCGATCCAAGATTTCAGTTCGCTTTAAATTTAGGACTAAATGCGGTGGCTTTTCTTTCATACATTCCTCTAACCTTACATGAGAATTATAAGGGTGGAATACTGTTGAATTTGATCGTGAATTAAACTTCCTGCATGTTGAAGTTAAGCCAGTCAATCAAAGTTATATATATTACGATGCTTACCCACTTTATTACTTTGTTTTTTGATGTCATTATCGTTTTCACCGTGAGGAATGAATGTTCTGCGGATTGAAATCAGATGCCTAAAATTCCAGAATTAGCTCAGGTTTGCACTTTTTATGTCTTAAATTTTAGATCAGTGCCGATGAAAACTAAGACAAGAAAGTTATGCTCACGCTGTGCAAGGAAAATGACAACCAATTTTATTGGTTTTATTTGTTGTTGCTTGTTGCATAACTCTTAAAGAAGATCATGTTGTCGTCCTTGTGATGGCGATCTTTAAAGAGCCCAAGTTTCCATTTTCAAGAACAAACATAATGCTGACGTGTCTTTGCAACGACTGCTAATTAATTTATAAAACATAACGGAGAGAAGTTGTCGACCTAGTTTCTTACCGCTGTTGTTGCTAAGCGCGCCGTTGTTAACTGAAGTTACCGTCCTCTTCCTAAATCACCTTAATATTTCCTTAGTGCTCTCTCTCCCTCCCCCCTCGACGCTGACATTGTGTCGCATTTGCAGTATCTCATTGGCCAATTTGAAGATATAAGTTCATGCCTCGTTTCTGGAGAGAAGAAAGGGCAATTATGACCAGTCACTAATCAACAACGCTGCCGATGAAGCCCAAGCCAGACTTTACAAATTTTCTTGGGTTTATAGACATCAGAATCAAGCATAAGGTCTAAAAGGTGTTTTATTGAAGGCTCTGACTTACAATAAACATGACGCGCTTATTGACAACTTTTCCACTTGTTACAATTCTCTTTGCTTTGTACCATGTTCCTCTAGAAGGCACGTTCGTGTTCAAATTATCCTTACTGTAAAAGCCATGTTTGATGAGCACGTTTGAGCCAAATCACGAAGTTATTTGAATATCACGTTCTACAATGAATTAGAATTCTCAAAATGAGTTAAACAATCTAGAAATTAACTACAAATTAGACTTCAACTCACTACCAAATATCTAATTTAGTGATATTCTTAGACCTTTTCATTACTTTTTTATTTTGAGTGAATTATCAGTAATGTAAGCATGATCTATATGGACATCACTTTAAGTCCTAATGATTATAACGCTCGCAAAGGAGTTATGAAAATTCTATTAAATGGGCTACCTAGCTTATTGATAAACTTCAAAACCTCTAATAAACAATGTCTTGTATTTTTTTTTTGTTTTTTGAAGCGTAGTCTGGGTGCAAAATTCTCACAAGCGAGTTGTGAAAATAAACAATTATAATTTTTATCGAACCACTAAACTCCCTGGCATACCTAAACGTTTTTATAAGTTATTTGATAAATCTGTACTCGCGATAAACGTCCTAAAATCACGAAAAAAAACGTCACTTTACATCTAGGTTGTATTGTAATGCTCGAAAAGGAGTTATAAAAATTCTAAAAATCAACTATTTAGATTACTACTTGGGTAACTTAATAAACTGCCAAAGAACTGATTAATGACTTCTCATCCAATAAAATGTTAACTATTCTTTTGTTACATTTTTAATTATTCTTCTTTAAGAGATAGTGATGAAATAGAAAAAAACAAAACAAAAAAAAAGATATCGATACTTAGCTGTGGAACTGGGGTATTTATATAGTTGTTATGATCATGCAGAGTCTCTCAGAACTAAAGCCCAGGCCGTAAAATTTTCTGAGTTCTTTCATATAATCTGAAGCCCCAAATAACCGTTACTGTAACTCTTACTAAATAAAATTCTCGTAAACGAGTAAAAAAGTTTTATGAAATTAACTATTTAGATCATCAGGATATTATTAAATATTAACGATGTGAGATGTTAAACAGTAAATGCTTTGTTTCTTTTAGATTAAAGAACCTAGAAATGAGCTATTAATCGCTAAAACATGCAATTTTGAAATATGCTAAAAGAAAAACACTAACAGGTAGTTAAACTTGTCAAAGTCAACACACATACACACACAAAAATTAAATAAAATAAACAAACAAAAAATAAACATTAAAAAGAAAACAGACAAGATCAAACCGAAATGAAGACAGAACTGCCATCACACGCCCATTCAGAGATAGCGCCCAATATGTTCAATAGCATGTTATGCAATCCATAGTTCAGCTAACTAACTTATGTTATTATTTTATCGAAGGGAAAATAAACAAAAAGGATTGTTTTGACTAAGATACTTCCACAGACACTACATAATGATTACTAGAATTCCATTTCTTCTTGAATTCTTGAATTCTCTTCTTCAGTCCTTACGGTCTCTTTAGTAATGGAAGGAGTAAAAGCACATTGATTTATTTATTGCAAAACGTGTGTATTAATAATTTGTTTGCTTGATCAACCAACCGTCAGTCGGTCAACTGGTTCAGGCTTCTGACTTAGCACGCAGCTAGAAAATGAATCAGTTTATTGCCATGCCCACAGCAAGGGAAACAGTCAGGCAGACAGTCAGGCAGAAAGTCAAGCAGATAGTTATACCATCTGTCTGTCAGCTTAATCAGTTAATGTAATCTGACGGCGTAGTGGCCAGCTCACCAGTTGGTCCGTTGACCAGACAGTATTATTCAGATTATGAAAAGGTTCTAGAGACTGAAGGTTCAAGAAATCAGGAGTCAACAGCCCATGCATGTACACGGAAATGCATCAGAGCAAAAGTACGAAAATTTCACCCTTCATCTCAAATCTGAAACTAGTTTCATAAGTTTGATAAGATATCAAAAAGTGCACAAATTTTTTAAAGGTTTTCCGCACCCTTCAGTCAGTGGTACTCACTATTGAAGAAGACACAACAAACATTTACCTTGGTTCGAAAAGCAAGAACTAAAGTCTGGTATCAAAAACCTCTTCTTCCCCTGCTTGGAATACGAAAAGAGAAAAATGTATATATTAAGCCACTTAATCAGAATTTATTATTGCTAACACAATTCTAACTTGTCTGTGTTAAAGAGTTTTAAAAGTTGAGGTTCACGACGTCATAAGCCTCGCTTCTAATTAATTAGCTTTACCACGTGGCAGCTATGTTTCCTCCATCTAAGCAAACATCTTTATAGCTAAGAAATGTTACAAAAAGTGAGAGAGCTCTGGAAGATTCAAAGGTGCCATATTTAGTGTCAGTATTGCAAGTCAGGTCTTGGCCGTTCACTGTGACAAAGTACAATAGTACTCAAGTATTCCTCTTTTCTCTTAATTCAATCACTTCTGATGTGGACCGCCGTGTTTCAACTTTCCTCAGACAATAACGTGGACAGATTATGTGTTAATTCATGACCACTTCGAGTCTATGTTGGCTGATTTATAAAGAATTCTACCTTTCTCTGTGTCCTCCATGTCAGGCTCAAGCCGCTTTTCTTCTTCTTCTTCTTCTTCTTCTTCTTCTTCTTCTTCTGCCTTTTGAGCTTTTATAAAAGATGATTAATTGAACAAAAAGTAAATTAGAACTCAGTCTTTCAATTTATTTCTTTTTCCTTTACTTCAGCATGTTTACGAATCATTCATTTTTCATTGGCTACCAAGATGAAAGATATGCCTCAATAACTAATCTGGTGCCTTAACCTCTTGAGTGAGAAATAAAAAACCCTCCCTCTCCTTTACCTTCATCACTAGGTATTGGAATTTCTTCACTCTCCACTTTCTCCTCAGATTTGCCAGCTGTGTGATAGCAAAGTTATTTATTAGAATGAGGTAAAGTACATAAATATATAAAGTTGTCTAGATGGTAAACTCGGCCCATGGCCCTTCTATTAAATCAGTAAATTGGCCCAGTTAGCTTTAAATTTATAAAAAATACATAAATGATAATAATCACGATAATAATAATAAAGCTTGTATAGTATGCAAAAATAACTAGGTGAAGTTATGGTAAATAATGTATAGTTCTTAAAAAAAATGAATCGTTGTATTTACCTTCCTTAGTTAGCTCTTCTGTGTCAAGCTTTTTTTCTCCTTCTGAAGAAATTGAATTAGAACATATTGTACCTATTAAATGATGTTCATTTGAAGTATTGCAATTGACGAAGGTCAACGTTTGCCACCAATTCATCAATCACTTTTGTCTCTGTTGCTTCAGATACTGAATAAGTGCGTATACAACGCCTACACGTAAATGCCCTTGAAATTTAACTCGACTGACGCAGAGAGCCGAAAATGAACGAGGCAAAGCTGGTGCCCTCTTCCGTCTTCTCCAGAAGACAATGTGTTTGATAAAAGGTGCATTAGTACTCAGCCATTCAATCTTGTTTTTACTGAAGCATTTCATAAAATATTTTTTCTGTTTCTGTTTTTCAGCGACTACTAAGGTGAAAGATATGTTTCAATAACCTGCTTAACCTCCTGAGTGACCAATTAAAGCTACCCTCTCCTTTACCTTTGTCACTTGCCCTTGGAATCTCTTCACTCTCCACCTGCTCCACAGATTTGTCAGCTGTGTAATAGCAAAGTTATTAATTAAGATGAAGTATAAGGACCTTAAGACTGACGTATATAAAGCAATAGACTTGTCCTCACTGTCACTTTGTGAGTAAGCCAGGAAATTGGCCCAGATGGCAGATAAGTTCAAGAAAAGGTGACTTCCACTATATGCGGAAATAAAGGAAACTTATGTCGCACAATGTACAGTTCAAGAAAAAAATCATTCTATTTACCTTCCTCAGCTAGCTCTTTAGTCTCAGGCTTTGTCTCTCCTCCTTGGCCTGCAGAAACTTGTACTTAGTACAAAAAATTTGTAGTCAACGAATGACATTCATTTGAATAATTGAAAATAACGAATCGAAAGTGATCGAAATTGTGGGAGGATCACCAGAGAGAGGACATAAGCGGAAAATTCGGGAGCGTTGAAATAGTCGACGGTAAAATTTTGCCACTTCTTAAAGCCTTTGTTCAATTGCCACCAATTTGCCAGATAACTGTTATTCCTGTTGCTTCAGGTACTAAAAGAATGCGCACAAAAGACCTCAATGCAGATGCCCCTCAACTTAAAAATATTCCGAATTTCGACTCAGAAAGCGAAAAAAATGTTGAGACTAAGCTGGTACTCTATTTCAGTCAAACGTTTTTTTAACAACTTAAAATTGAAAATATCTTGACATTGACCAAAGTAAGGTTATGTGTCCACCGAAACCAATGTGTACGACAATTGCCATATATATTTAAATGCTTGTATCAAGAGCCACGAGTTACATCAACGGCGAGCCTCCACATATAAAAAAGGTTCCTGTAAGCACCTTAAACTTCAGTCACTTCTAGTCTCTCCTGTAGTCGGATCTTTCATAAATTCAATGTGAAATAATGGTTTCATAAAAATAGACACTTATCAACATTAGAGCCTTCCGTCAAAGAGTAGACAATCCTAGTTACAAAAGGAGTTCAACATATACCTTCTTTTTGACTTTTTCGTCGATGCTGGCTTTCACCATGATGAACAGCAACTGCAATAAAGAATATCCTTCTTTTAAATAAGTTGCAAATTGTTTGGGAGAGGGTCCAGCGTTGATAACAAATCTTATTTGAGTCTAACTACATTCAAACATGAATAGAACTACTCCCTTCCCTCTATTCCGCCAAAGAGGATTAAAACAGTTTCAAGCAAAATGTGCGAACCTCAACTTTTTTTTACTCACACAACTACCTACTATACTTTAGCGTGGGAAATTAGAAATTCGCTTTTTGCGTTCGAATCTCCGTCCCATTTCATTTTTTTTTTTCTTAGAGGTTAGCTTGCTGCTAATAATTATCTATTGATGTTATTAACCAGGTATTACGCAAGAGTCTTCCCACCAAAATATACAACGCCTCATGTTGAGTGCGTTAAAGACATAAATACTTCTAATTTTGCACAATTTCCTTTCACACCTAGTGTCCGCGAGACTATCAATCCAAAGTTAAAAATCTTTTTTTTTTTTTTGAATTTGCAATGACTCGTTACTTTCAGTAGGTAGGGAAGGCTTCTCTTATAAATTCCTTCATAGGAGAAACTTGGAGTCTTTTTGTATAAACTGGTGGTAACAGCCAGCACTAATAATATAGTTTCCTACAAAAAGTTCTTTACCTTCCACAGTCTTTTTAGTGGCTGGTCTGATATCAAAATCATCCTCATAATCTGTTTCAAACAACAAGTAGAGTGAAACATGTCATAACTTTTGTGGTTCGTTTATTCTTCAAATGAATTTTACAGAAAATAATATTCGTATGACGTAATTCAGATACGAAATCTTAAAAAAAACAAATAAACAAACATAAAATACTTTCGATAAAGTTTACTGTACAGTTTAGTTTCCGCATTGAATGCGCATAAACTTAACAACTTCTAGCACGATAGATTACTCAGTTGAGTTAAAACTTGGTTAAACTTGTCATACAGCTCGCATTGTTTTACATCTGCGAGTTTGTGCGCATGAGATAGTCTGTTGAAGTCATACTTTTGCAAAAGACAGTTGATTTGATCGAATACTTTCAAGTTCTTTTATTCATTCCTACTACTTTATTTCTTGCAAAGTAGTTGGCGATTTTTAGGAACAGTTGTAAAAAGCGGTTGAAGTCATAGCTTCAGTACTGATATTGTGAATGAAGCGGCTGTCTACGACTTAATTTCATATTTTTTCATGAATGAAGTTTCAAGAGGAAGAACAACAACATCAACTGAAATAATGATAATAATAATAATAATAATAATGATGATAATAATAATAATAATAATAATGATAATAATAATAATAATAATAATAATAATAATAATTATAATAATAGGCAGGAAATTTTAATTCAAGTTAGAAGACATTATACCTGAGGAAGATGGAGTCTCATCCCCACCACAGGCTTGTTCCATTGCTGTTGATGGTTCAAATCGTTATGTTAGAGTTATTTATCAGATAATAAAAGCAAAAAGGTAAAACATTGAATGATCATTTCAATACGTATCATTCATTTATTAGATCTGTGCCATATTGATAACGATATTACCTTTGTTGCACATGACACCTGTGCAGGTTTCTAATTTAAAGGGATGGGGATCTCAAAGGGGAAGTTCAGAAACTGGGTCGTCGAAAAACTGTCGTCAGAATTGTTGTATGTAACTTGTGAAAAACCAAAGGATTTTTTTTGCAATTATTAACCAAAGGTGACAAAACCAATCACATTTATGTCATATGAGGAAACATTTCCTTAATCTTTCCCTAACCAAAATTCACACGTAGAACGTATCAAAATAGAAAAGAATAGTATGTTTCATCATAGGTATTTCAATTTGAAAGAGCTCACCCACTTCAGTGGATTACTTGATTACAGTTGAAATCAGAAAGTCAATCACACATTAACATTAACATCAAAACATTATACATTTATACACATAAGTAATGAATGCGAGTTCTGAGTCGACCTATTAACCTCAAAGATTTACCGTTTGATTCCCTAGTTTTCTAATTGGCTAGTTTTGAAATGATGTTTTAAAGAAATAAGCATACATATGGAATACTGACCCGGTTGCGGAGCAGGCAATTCAGGGGCTTCCACTTCTGGGACTTCGTTGTGTTCTATTACTTGCATTTCAATCTGTTCTCCTATGGGGAAGATAATGCAGACACAAAAACAAACAAAAAATGGGATTAAGAAGGGAAGAGAAGAAACGAAAGAAAGGTATTACACACAAAACCATAACGAGGCAAAGAGAATATACACATTGGGAATCACTATATTTACCCTCTTCGTTGTTAGCGTGTTCATGTCCATTTCCGATCTGTCCCTGCTGATTATTTACTCCTTCTAAGTAATAAAATAGCAGTAACATATCTTTTTTGGTCCTCTCCAAACGGAGAATAAACTACTGTTAGGCCTATCCAAACATTTTAAGGAGGAGGGGGAGGGGGGGGGGTAAGTTTCTGAAGAAACTGTGGCGCTGCGTCGGTGGAGGAGTATAACACACCAAACTATCTCGTCCACATATTGATTTTAAAAAATCCTTCTACCAGTCAGATTGTTTCTTTCCCTTGAAATTGAAGACCGAAGCTCAACCATTTATTGTTTTTTAATTGCGTGGTTGCCCCTTAATAATTTTTTGAAGTAATAATGATAATTCCAATAATAATTCAAATAAATTTCTGAAGTGCATTGTTCTAATCTCTACTCACACCTATACCCCCTTTCAAGGTCTGATTATGATATGTATAAATGGAATATAGCACCGTGCCTTCTTGATTTTGTCCACTGCTGAAAATCGATCGAACATTGGACCACACCTTCCTCAATTTTGCTTTCAAAACAGCTTGAACCTATACAGTAGAAATTTAGTTAATAAAGTATGTCGGAATATAGATCAAACCGCTTTTAAATTCAAGTTGGTCTCCATGGTTATAACCAACAGCGGAGAAACAAACAAACAACTTTGCGATCATTCATATTTTTTTCCATGCCCATTTTTTCTCCTTTTGGGTTATTTTTTTTTTCTGTCATAAGGACATGAGAGAGACCGTCTTTGATTGACAATAGGAAAATTTCTAATAAAAAAAAACCGTTGGGACCGCGGGTGATTGATTCAGATAACTATCTCGCAAAGATGTCTCTTAAAACAACAAATGAAAGAATGTTCCATTCAAAAGCAAGAGAAAAATGGTACCTGTGGAGTAGAAAGGGTATACAGCAGTGGGTTGATAGCTGAATTGATCGGCAAGGCGAACACTGCAATCCACACTGCCAGATCACCAGGTGGATCAAACGTTTTCTCGACGTGCGACTTAATGCCGATAGCAATGATTGGTATCCAACACAAGAAATCGGTCAGAATAATGAAGAAGACTCTTTTGGCAAGTGCTCTTTCTCTTTTGGCCTGTGCGCTTTGTGCTCTTGCTCGTATTTCACGAACAGTTCCATGCGCACCCAGCCGTCTGCTTGACGACCATGATTTCAACAAGATGGCAACATAAGCAACCGTAATAAATAGGAAAAGAGAAAAATTTAAAACGATGAAGATGGAAGTGGAGAATTCCCAGCCTTCTTGTAATTGCGGGGAAAGTTGCAGGGGCAGGCACACCACGTTCTTGCCATAATACCAGTCACCAAAATATCGCATTCCAGACAACGGAAGGAATGCCATGATGCCTCCCACAAGCCAGATAACTACACACATAATACGGGTCTGCCTTGGTGTAATTTTTGCAAACGTGTAAGGAAACACAATGTTCTTGAGCCTGTCCCATGCAATCAGAGAAATCATCATAACAGACACCTCGCTTGAAAGTACAGACATGGCGCCATTGAAATGGCAAAACCAGCCGGTGCGCCACTCATAGTCGTGCAGGTAGTATTCCCCTGACCATTGCAGGTCTTTTATACCTATAATGATGAGGTAAATACCCATGATGCCGTCTGAAATACCCAGATTTACCAACATAATAGACTGGACCATATTGTTATCAGGTAAGAAATACTGCCACCCAACTACAAACACAGACCCAAACAACGAAAGAAGGCCGACAACCCAAAGACTTCTCCTTGGAGCAAGGTTGCGGAACATGGAGTGACAGCTTGCGAAGTTATCATTGAAGGCAAATTCGCAATCGGCATCCTGCCTGAAAAGATCAAGGTGGCAGCACATCAGGTTGGTGTCCAGAGTTCTGGAATTAGAAAAAGAAGAGGAAATTAGAAAGGGTTCATCGTTAGAACAATGAGAGCAAAATTATGATTATCCAAAACGATCGGCAAGAAAATAGTGATCTATGCTGAGGCAAAGATAATTGATAAGCATTTTTTCATAAATTAATAGCAATTAGAAAGTCACGCGAAGCATGCCTTAGGCAATTTTATTTAAAATCTAAATAAGGCTTCATATCATTTCAGGATTGGAATTGATAGAAGATGTTAACGTGAATGAAAATTTATTGATCAACTGAACCACAACAGACTGAAGGAAACAAAATCATTAAAATGATTGCATCACCCATATCACAATTTGACAATAATTTCTATTTCAAAGGTAATTCAGACAACATCCGCTCCAAATCTCCTTTTAAGCCATCGTGTTAAATTATTATAATGGAGTATTACACTCTGATAATGTGCGGCAAAAGCCCAAAAAAGCCTTTGGGGAGCTCAGCCATCAGGTTGTAGTGCATGAACCTGAAAGTTTAAAATAGAAGGTGAAAATTAAGTCAGATTATAATAAATTGCATATCTCATTTTCCCAAATAAGTAGTTGCAAAATTAAAAATTATACCCAATTAACTATAACACTCTAAATTAACTTCACACCTGCATCTTATCCGATTGCAATACATGCGGCTTTATTGTAAGTACTGTGATAAAAAACTGCCATTTACAGTGAACTTACAAAAATCGCAGTTCCCGGGCATTACTGAAAGTCGTGCTGGTGACATTTTGTATTTTATTGCCTAAGATATTTCTGCAAAAATTAATAACATAACTATTAACTAGCAGATGGTAAACAGGGTCTTGCATTGTCTGATTCTTAAAATTTCACCTGAAGTTGCCGTCGGAACTATCATAGTTCTCAACTATGTTTGTTTGCTTTTTTGATAATATCTACCTTTGCTCAATAAAACCATGTTTATAGCAAGCCACATTTTTTTACGTTGAGAAAATAGCTAGTAATAAAATTAAGTTGTTGAGCATTACAATTTACACCACGCCTGTTGGAGATCATGTTAACATTTTCAAATAAGAATTCCATATTATGAGTCTTTCTGTTATGTACATTTCAATCTTCTAAAAAATTTAAAAAATTGTTTCGTATGTTATTAGCTGTACTCACAGGCCCTTGAGGTTCTTAACTCCCTCAAATATCTTGTCAGGTAAAGCCTCGATTCTGTTCTCCGAGAGATGTCTTAAACAGGTAAGGGGGAATTTAAATTAATATACAAGTAACATAGAATAACTAGGTGTGGCACATCTAATTTAAACAGCAAAACTGATATCAAAATTATACCACAATTATATAGATCTGGTGACAAAGATTGTGATCCATTTATTATAGAGGCTAGTACTAATAGAGGATACTAACTATATTTACTAAGGAGGTGTTCCCTATTATGGCTCCTGATTTTCTATTCCAACTAATATCTGTGCAAGTTAATTCCCTTAGAAAATTAATCGCATGGCCGTTTTAATCCAAACCTTTGCACTTCAACTCAATATTTATAGACTCAGCTAAATTGAAGCCATTTTTTTCTTTGTTCAAAAAAGCTCTTTTCCTTTCAAGTTAACTTTATCATTGCGGCTCTATAATCTGAAGGACGAATATGAACAGAAATCTCATTAATGCACATGAGCCGTTTATCGCTTAAACGTTAAAATAAAAAACCTTGGTAATATATGATTATCATGCACTTCTTCTGGTATCACCTCTCTCCATTTAAATATGGTTAGTTTGTAAACATTTTCTTGTCAACTTTTATTCACTGAATTAGTTTTTTTTTTAAATTCATATAAATGGGCTGGTTCTAAAGTATGCTTTAGATTACAACAGATCATGATGAAAAATTAACGTTTAAGTCTAAATGTACTCACAACTCGAACAACTCCACTAAGCCCTGGAATTGATCTTCATGAAGCCTCTCAATTTTGTTGTATTCCATTTTCCTGAAAAAGCGCGGTGCAGATGTTAGACTGAAATACACACATGAAGGGATATCTTTAAATCTACTTTTGTCTTAATTATCTTCTGAATTTACTGCAGCACAATTAGCTCCCGGGTTTGATATTTGAATATCACAGAAAAAAAGAAAACATTAGACCCACATGAAACTTTCATGCTCTCAGGCTAGAGAAACTTTAGATTTTATTACCAGAAACCTCTGCTTCAGGTCTGTTGTTTAAAGCTGAGTTTGAAAAATCGTAAGTAAGCTATTGCCCATTTTTAAAAATTATTTAGGTTGCTTTAGTATCTAAGTCAACAAATTATAAGCCTCTGTCGCAAAATATAATTGCAAGACAAAAAAAATTTAGCAGCTTAAAATAAATAAGAAATGTAAATTGCTATAAACTAGGAAGCCGATTTACTCACTTATTGCTGTTATTGCAAGGTAATTCTTAGAGACAGCTTTTTTTATTTATCTTAACTCAAAGAGAATCTCACTTACAGAAATCTCACAGCTGTAATGTTTTTAAAGATGTATGGCGGTAGATTTCCAAGTTCATTATTTGACAAATCCCTAGAATGTAATAATAACCGTAGTTACGAATCTATTATCATGAAATTACCAATACTGATTCATAGAATAAAAAATATTGGCTGCTTTTGAAGAACAACTGTTCATAAAATAATGTTTGCCTCCGCAGTAGTTTCCAGTTTAATGTATCTATTTTGAGTTCCTTAGCTATCTGGAGGAACATTATAGATGGTTAATTTTTTTCAAAATCCGGCAACAAAACGCTGGTTATGACACTATCAAGAAACGATATAGTGCGGACCAAAAGAGCATAAGATAATCCGTGAATATTTTCTGGGAAAAAATATCATACAGAAAGCTTTTTTCATACAAAATAGAAAAATTGATTATAATATACTAAATACTAAATATACTATTTATACTTAATACTCTCACGACGACGAAAAAAAGGAATACAAAAACGCGGAATGTATCATAATGTTGCTACCTCGCGTGCAGTAGTTGAACAATACCCAACTTGAAAATCATCAACACTAATTAATCATTTTATTTTTATTAATATTATTTTTATTGTCATTGTTTTTATTGAGATTACAGTTATTACTGTTGTTGCAGCCTTGGTTTACTGGTTTATCATGCTGTGCTAAAAGCAGGTGTTTTATCCGGACAAAATTTTGAGTTGCTAAGTTGCTATCAAACAGAAGCAAATCACGAATAAGGTTTTCATTGATTTTCAAACCTCCAAGTACGTCAACTTTACTCACCAAAGCACATCTACATAACATAGCATTCTAAAATTCACCTAAACAGTTTTACAAAAATTGACTGTGAAATTTTCATGACACGGAGACAAAAAGTGATCCCTAGAGTTTATTGCTAATCCTTATGGAGGAGAATGATCCTGGGGTAGTGGGTCTTCTTTTCTTTTGCTCTCCTTATAATCAGTGACTTCCTTTAGCGTAGTTTCATCTGGCAACTTATTCATTTTTATCACCAAAACTGTGTTGCAAATTTCGACTGATACCCACGTCAGACCTTTCAGTGTTAACATACGTGTTTCTGTTAACTGAATGTGGCCACGCAGCTTTGAGAAATGTGCCTTTTTGTAAAAATTCAATGACCTCTTTTCGAATTTTTACTTTTGTTAAATGATTATTGTACTCACAGATATGTGAGGTTGGAGAGGCTGTTAAAAATTCCATCTGGTAGAGTCTTCAATTTGTTATTTGACAGATAGCTGATAGGATCTTCAATTTGTTATTTGACAGATACGCTGGCTGAATAATGAAAGAGCTGAATGTAATCGTGTACAAGCAATGTACATAATCTCATAAAGAGAAAGGAACAGTTAATGCAGTGCAATCGTCTTAGCTATTCTGCTATTTCTACAGAAAAGGAACAACCGGTTGACAACTTGAAATTTGATCGCACACTAAACACTGCTATCTAAGGTTGGCAGCAGCTGATTATCCCTACTATTCCAGTGAATTATTCAGTATAGAAATCATCGAGCCTGTGTCTTATGAAGACATCTAACTAGTTCACCACAGAAAATTATATAATGACTAGACATTTTATGGAACGCATCGACTTCGTTGCTGTTTGACTGAAAATCTCCTATTCTGATTATCAGAACAAAAGTGAGGGATAAGTTTAGGATGGTTCAATTGTTTTTTGTTTTTTTTTTTAATTTTTGTGCTGAGGGTAATATCAGAAAAGTTTGAAAATGGAAATATCTCGTCCAATCTCGTATAATTAGTGACGCGATAATATGGTGACCAGCATATTATTGTCTATATAATTACACGAGCAGGCCTGTTGTGGAAGGGAGATGACATTGAAAGCTAAAAATCATCCCTTAACCACAGTCATAAAGCTAAATAGCTAAAGAGCGTCTCCATGTAACTTACAGTTCATTTAGGCCTTTTAGATCTTTGAATAATTCGGGAGGCAATTCAGTGAAATTGTTGTCTTGCAACCATCTGTGTTGAAGAAGAGACATCTACTTAGTTTTATTGAAAAGCTTACAAAATTATTAGTCTATAGGTTAAATTGGTGCACGAGCAATAAAAGAATAAAAACTAAAACACAGTTATTTCTAATAACTGCATCGTGTGAAACGCAACAGGAAAAATAATTACATATGTAACTGACAATAAATCACAACAAAATGCAATGCCATTCGATGCAATGCAATACGACCAAGTTCTATGAACTTATGCAACGAGTGAGAGGACCGAACTGGAAAATGCCTGGCTCGAGATCATGGCGCACTTACCGAGTGGAATGCAACGGGCTCTATGATAAACAGAATTTTAGAAGGACAAACCGATAATGGTTTCTCAACCTGATGCAATCTAAAGAATTCATATTTAATTTACCTCGGTTCTACAATTTATCAACTGCGATGATTTACATCAGAGGATATATTGATAAACCTTTTTCGGAGAAATATTTTTGACAAAAAAGATCGTTTGAGTGTAATCAGAATTTGAACCTTTCCTAACTTTTATTATTTGACTGATTTCAAAAAGTTATTAGTTCTCTTCGTTTATCTAGATCTGTTTCCTTATCATTGTACAGCATGAGTCATAAGACGGATGCCAATACATTGCGATCCTGCAAACGGAAATTATAAATTGTTACCATGTTTGACTTTGTTTTTACGAGAAACAATGCCTTCAAAAACAGTATTTCCGTATTCACTTACAGTTCCTTTAAAAGTGTCATGTTTCTGAAGGCGCTTCCATTTAATCCTTTCATGTCGTTGTCATTCAGGCGCCTGCGTTATTTACCAAATAAACTGATTAATAGTGTTAAGATACCCCTGAAGTTTATCGCTCAGGGTAGGGGAATCACCGAGACTATTATTAATGTCTTGCCGATTTGGCAAAAATTTGCATTGCTTTCATAAATGATTATTTGCTTGTGCTAACTTCATCCTGAATACTCATCAAATCACACTGCAATATACTTAGATTATACAAAGAGAAAGTGTGGTTTTTAATTGCATTCGGTCTATAATGGAGATTTGATGAAAATATTTTGAATAAACACCTGGTAATGCCTGTTTTAAATAGAATGAGTCTCTTCAAAAGGCCAGTCTGGTTATAGAATTCCATGTCAGGAATGTGACAGTCGATGTCAGAGTGCCTCCTTGATATGAGTTCCAAGGTTTCTCTACAACACCTTGACTTGTATCAGTTTGAAAACAAAAACACTTAGAGGGTTTTAGAGCTATTCAGCAGTAAAAGAGGCACATCTTAGCCGCACTTCAAGAAAGATTTGGTAATATTTTATGCATCATTGAGTCTCTTAAATTTCTTGTTCTTCTGGATATTCGAAATAGGTGCACAGGTAATGACGGGTCTGAAATTTGAGTTTTGTCGGCAGCCGCGAGGATTGGCAAGGAGACTCTGTTGTGCGTGATTTGTTCTTTTGGAGCACAGCATGAAATAAAATGAGCAGGATTTTTTTTCACGTTTCAAACTTGAACTTTACATATGTTTACGTACATAAATAAGACTCGCTCGTCAATAATCCTGAGTTTAAATCGTTAAGACAGAAATGTTACTTACAAAAACTCCAATCTTGTGTTATTCTCAAAGATTCCCAGGGGAAGGTTGTGCAATTGCATTTCAGACAAGTACCTAATGATATAGTACACATACATAAGTGTTGCATAAAGTATAAATAGCAGCAATACTGTACCAGAACCTTTGTTAACATTTAAGGATAACTTAAACTAATAACTACATTTTTGTAGTTATTGCGATTTCATCACAAATTTGTTTTCATGTTTTTTTTCCTTAATAGGCTGCAATACGATTTTTTATTTCCGTAAAGAAAAAATAGTAAAACAAAGTGCGTTAACTACATATTTTCTCTTTCTTCATTTATCCATGCCAGCTACAGTGATTAGCAATTTTCGAGTGAGTTACGCATTTTTCGGATTGAATTAAGTTTTTTTAAAAGCTATGACCGTCACTTGAAGTCCAGTGAAAATCTCAGTGAAAATTATGTTTTGAAGTTAATTAATTTTCATCGTCTTCTGGGCCGTAAGACCTTCTAATCACGTGTCTTCTAGCGAAAGACATTTGAAAGTTTAATTTTGAAAATATCATGGATTCCTAACGCCCTTTGAAGATTGATAGAGGAGAGTATACATAGAAAAGTAGGGAAAATATTTAAAATAATGACAGTAACAGGGGAACCAGGCAAATTCGAAATGAAACACAGAAATTAAGATCACCACCCCTTCCTTCCTTCCCCCTTGTGTTTTCGTTACGTTGCGATATTTTGAAACGTTTTTACCTTAAAGAGATACCTGCTATGTCATCTACAAGATATTGTTAATATTATGGGATACATATGCAAATGATGCTGCTGGTAGCCAGTCAGGCCCTAAAAGATTCTGCCAGTAAGAATGAAAATTATG